GGCTGCCTATAATGTTGACAGCATGATCCGCATTCATTGAAACATTTTATGAGGACTATGTGACTTCTTCCTCAAACTGTAGGCTAAAACGTACTTTTCCTTAAGCAGGATGTACACAGTGCGCAGTTTTTAAACCTTGAATTCGAGTGTAGCAGTCAGTGGTTTAGAAAATGATTCGGCAATCCAGAAACTCTTTTAAAACTGAAAAATAACTTTTCTTTTATTATACAATTTAAAGAGGGCATAATTTAGTAAAAAAAGAGTACAAGAAATATTTTTTTCGTGCATGTTTTACATTAAATATATAAAGACAGTCACAATAGATCATAAAAAGTTAAGTTACCATTGTTTACAGTATATACTTTTTGTTAGCGATCAGAAGGAGGCTCGTTAAAAAGCCGGCATCCTATCATGACTGAAATGACTGGAGACTAGGCTACAAGATAATCCGTATTACAACCTTACTTAATGCCAATTAGCGAGTGTGTGTCAAAAGTTTGCAAATGTCAGCATATTGCACGAATTTGGAGCCGTACTGTATAACCAAACACATATACCAACTTTTCACCCATGCAACTTAGTGCTCTAGGAAAAACATCTATGGATATCTTAAAACTTAATAAGGCAAATGTTTTTACTTTCTATTTTTTTAACTTGTAATATTTTCACTTGGTCCGAGAGGATAAAACCATCATGACCCTCATTGGTCTTCAAGGACAACGTCAAGATATGGGCTTAAGTTATATCTCTACAGGCAAAACACATCCGTAAAGAGGGAGAGAGTGCCGAGAAGTTTATTTTCAGAAACTAACCGATTCGCAATCCCAGTGGCGTAGATAGCCATGTTGTTAGTGTCCAACCGTTGTGCATTGATGTCCACAAACAATGAACCGAGACCGTAGGCTCGGATCGTGTCGACGCCCTGTAGAGTCTCAGAAAACTGCGAGAAAATAGGTGACTTGCTGACGGAGTCAATACGCTTCAGTTGGCGGCTGGTGGCTACAAACACATTCTAAACGGCAAAATAAGACTCCTTTTTAGAAATAGTCGACGATAGAAGGAGATTTTCAACTAGAATTGGAATTTTTAATCAATAATAAATAACTTTTAATAATAAATAATAAGGTAAGACTTACTTAAGAGGTCTTGTTTGCCATTAACTTATAACAATAACATACTTTTACAATTTCAGTAACCCGACTATCCCCTTTATTCATTAAATTACGCCAACAAAAGGTTGAATTTCCATCAATAGGTATCAGTTGCCTGAGCAACGAGTTTATTTCGATGGAGTTTACAATGTTTAGCTCATTAAAACAATTATAAGTGACTTTAATTTAATATTCTTTTATCAATTCCAACACAAGTAAATATTGATTCACACTCTTTAACTAAGAATAAAATGTTTAACCACAAATTAAGTAAGAAAGTTGGACGGGGGAATAGATATTTAGGCAGCTCTACAAGACAGTTTTGACAATAATAAGAACATAAAAAGTGGTATTGCCAGTTACAGTATAAGAAAGTTACATTGTAGAAAGCAAAAATCAGTAGTGGTAGTAGCATAGCGCCAAGTTGTAGGAAGTGGTGGATGCTAGCAGCAAATTCAAAGCTCTTGCAGTAGTTTCCAGAGGCAAACGAACACAGTGTTGGGTTTAGATCGGACTACAGCCGTAGAATATATGCAACTTTGTCACGCATACCTCTATGCAGATGGGAATATTGATTTCCGCTTGAAATTATTAAATACCTGGCTAAAATTGTCTCCACGCTGTAATTGCATACATCAAATATCGATGTTTGATACACACTCATAACAAGAAGGAATTCCGTTAGCAGTCAGGTGAACGTTCATCCACGAGTGTCAATATCCCCCTGACCTAAACCGGCAAGACAACGAACGCGTGGCTCAGTGGTTAGGGCGTTTGACTCTGATCAAAAAGGTTGCGAGTGGGGCATCACTTGGGTCTGAGAATGACTAGCTGACGATGGCTAATGAGCCAAAAATTGCCATTCCAGTCTCCCTTGTCTTTGCCGGAAATAACATCTACTTTCGGTCTATGCCCATAGACCATATATCTACACATCTAAAAGAAGAACGGAACTTAACAAGCTGAACGGTCCAACTGTCATGTGAGTGTACGCTACATACGCCCACCAGTATTACTGAAACCAAAAGTGTCTGTAGACTGCGTGCACGATGAACTTGCATATAACTTTAATGTAAAGCCGTTTATTTTACACTATATTTTCTAAGCTACGCTATGAAGAAAAAAAAGAGGTTGGAAATTGACGGTAACTGTTAAAATGACAGCTTAAACAAGAATCGCTAACATTTCAGAAGGATCTCACCTGCATTATAAAGTAGAAAACGGCTAAGAAAAAGAGAGGGATGATAATCCAAGGATTGAGCGATATCGTCAGTCCGATGGTGACCGCACACTGCAGAGACGTCTGGATGCAAGAGCGTAGGCTGTTCATCAGTTGATTATCCAGGGCCGCAACATCGGTGGAAAATCGGTTGACAATACGACCCTAACAACAAAAGTACAGGAAATAAAAGAATATATTGCCTAGGAGAACAATTCATCTCAAACTGTCTACAAATAGCATAGCATATATGTTTTTGCATACCTGAGGAACGGTATCAAAGAAGCTAGTCGGCA